CACATCCGGATAGTTTGTTAGCCATATCAAAAACAAATGCTTATCAAATGCATTGAAAAGTAAGTTCTACTTGGAAACATAAGCACCAACAAAACATTTCACTGATTTCCTTAGCAGAGGATTACTTTTGAAAAACAGCAGCATTAGAAGTTTGTGTTTGCTCCTATTGCCTCAGCAGTAACATGGTTCTCATTTTATGTGCCTTTATTTTAAAAAGAAAAAATACAACCAAAAGAAAAATCAAGCTCTTTGACTGAATACACCATAATAGTTCCTGGAATATATTTCAACATTATTAACATGTGCTTTCTATACAGCATACAGATAGTGCAGCTGTTCTCACTGGCTACCCTTGCCATTTTCCCTTTTCCCCTTACTTTCTTTGGGTGATATTACTTGCAGGCTTTAGTTAAAACAACAAGTAAAATAAAGAAAAACTATAGAACTTCTAGAAAAATAGAAGAAATGAGATAAAGGATATTCTCTCTCAGAAGAAGTCTCCCATATTGCCTTAGAGGACGATACAAAGCTTAAAGCTTAAACACAACTGTTGTTTTCATTATACTCACATATCTTAAGTTCTTCTATGATAAAAATCAACCTATTAGAAGCAAATGCATTTTCAGCAATTATCTTCTGGTTCTCTAACAGTATAAGCTGCCTTTTAACCCATAGGATTTTGAAAGAATATACTTCTAATAGCATACTAGTAATTTCATCTTCAGTATTCTTTCAACATTCCAGCATCTACAGTTAATGAAGTTGAAAAATGCTAAACAAACATTTCTAAAGTTTACCAAGGTTTATTAGAGTTTTACCAAGATCTAGCCTTTGATTCTCAATTCCAAGTTTTCTTTGCTACAAATCACTCATTTAAATAAACTCTTTTGCTAACAGCATTTGTATAAAGACACAAATAGAAAATTCATTAAGTGTCCATCAAGTAGAGGGTGCTATTTACCTGCTGACTGCTTGGCATTTTGAGCGTAGTTTCATTCAAATATCACTACAAATGAGTGTCATACAGTTTTCATTGCCCACTGTCAAATGCTGTTATAATGATGGTCCAAGAGCTAACCAACTGTTTAAACTTTAAATTCGCTAATTTTATTTGCTATTGTTTGTTAGTTTCTTTGGTTCTTTTTCTTTCAAGCACATTTAAGTCACTGAGGTGAACTATTTTGTGGCTAAGAAAAAAAAGTAACAGTTCTAGGTGCAATTTATACAATTTAAGACATGACACAAACCTTTGTATTTCATTAATTAGATCTGTTTCTTACTTGCCTTCAGGCTTCTTACAACAAAGATAGGTATCTCTTACAGGTCTCACCAGATGTGAAAAGAATGGAACATAATGAACGCATACTTCAAAAGTACAGAAGTGACTTACTAATTTAAAACCTCAGCAAAAATATATCGGTGCATTTAACAATTTTGCACTACAGACCATTTTTTCATTTGTACCTCCTTCCTACAAACGGGCTAGTCATATCTGATCAGTTACAATGCAGATTTATGCTTGAAAAATAGAATTTCTTTTCCATTCATGAAAGTTAACTTGAAAAGAAACTTTTTTTGTAAAAAACTTGCCTCCCCTAGAAAAAAAGCCTTCACAGATCTCACAGTTCTGTGAACTGCTTCATGTTTTAGTCCCTCTTAAAATATCAGTAAGGGCTTATCTGAGATAAGACAGAGTGGTTGTGAATCATTGCTGCCACTGTTGAGAGGAAGTTACTGCAGAGAACGGTCAATCCTTGCCTAGATCAAAGGTTCCAGAGCATCAGAAACAGTGAAATTCTTATTTAAATACTGATGTTCTAACACATTAGCTCTGTAGCCTCAACCTAGAGCAGCAAGTTTAAGAAAACTGAGGAGGAGGAGGAAGGAAGAAATTTTTAAGATCAGAAGACTTATTTACTATTAAGCATGCAAATGAAGTACCTTAGTCAATGTTTAAGAGGCATAACATTTAGATGTCAATTATTACTAGACTTCCAATGCATTTCCTTCTCACAATACGAAGTCAGTGCTCCAGTTAAGCATTAAGTGAGAACATTCACCACTAGTTCAACATCTCCCTGGAAATAATTACAACTGCATTCAGTGCAAGAAGAATGCACATTTTTCATTCCATAGAAGCTAGTATAACATTGCTGCAAAATCAAAGAAGGATATACTTACTACAGTGAAAGTTTAAAAAAAAACCAAACCAAACAAAACTCTGCATGAGACAGACTCCTATTCCTGATCTCACTGTTAGAAGATACAGAAAGATGGCAGTACGTGAGGAGTAAGCACACAGCATGTGCACTGCTGGCATTGTTATCCAGGTCACAAGGAGTTGAGAAAGGCTAGACTACTCAAATAACTACTTATTTTTTCCAAGCAGAACTGGGAACAGAACACCAAGCCTATGCTGTTGCAGCTATGTAGCTAGTAATATTCAACATAATTTATATAAGGTTATGTGAACTACAGTCACAGCAATGAATCCAGTATAGCACATTAAGACTCCCTAGACATCTGCTAGGTATGCATTCATTACATGATATCCTCTTCAGTAAGCCACACTACAGTTGATTAGATAATTGTATAAAATTGAATTTAATTACTATATCTTACTATAACCATTCCTGTGAGACCTCACGCCTAAGACCTGACTACAGCTCTATTTCTACCTATCCAAATTAAATACTGCTACAAGTCATAACTGGAAAAACGTAACCCTTACGCATTTAAATGTATAATATAGGTGAAGCAAATATAAGAACTTCTGCTTCCTTTACTAATGCTAGTGTTTGAAAGGAGCTGACTTTGTATCTTGCTTTTTTACATTTTGTAAGAAGTGGTCCGCTGCATGACCAGGACTGAGATCAAGTCCTAGTTCAGTGTTCAGACTGCTAAAGTTCATGTAATTGTTTTCAAAATTCTATTCCTGTTCTTTACAATAAGTAAAAAAGAACTGCAATATTTTTACTAATTTCTGTTAGTGTAAAGCTCACTATTTTCTGGAAAGGTTTAACACTTCAAAATAATGAAAAAATATTTCATACAAGTTTTACTCTAATTGTTTTAGTAAATAAAGGTAGTAAAGGTCTCAAGTCTTCCTCTGTAGCAAGTTAATTTACTTTTACGTTACTACTCATATTGTTTGATTAAAAGGATGGATAATACACAGGAGAGTAGAGTAAACATTCAGAAGTCTAGTGATGAGTTTTGGAAGCAGAAAGCCAAAATGGGACTGTTAGGTCAGGAAAATAGAGAGAAGTACGCTTGACAAAGTTTGAAGGGAAGAATACTACTTGTTATTACAAAACTTGCTATTACAGGGAGGGAGAGGGAGAAGATCAAGCTTTTGGCAAGAGAAACAGCAAATTTTGAGGAACGTACAGATTAGGAGTAACTGTTTTTTCTGTGAGTTTAAGGTTTTTTGAAAAACTTGATCTGAGCTACTTGAGGCAAGGTTTGTGTTCTGTAACCTTTCAGAAGAGTCTGCCTATTATAAACTAGATCAAGATTTACAACACAGTATTTTGCAGGGCCACACACTAGCTGGCTAGAACATGCATGCCTTTATACAATGAACTACACATACACAGATCATCTATCTAGTTGTTAAATTGTCCTTCTGTTAAAGGCATTAAAAGCTCTGGATAAAAAGTTCCCTGCTATCTCACCTTCTAATTGCATGCTTGAGGCTGCTGGGAGGCACAGTTCATGCAGTCCACTACTCAGACACAAAGTTCTAAGCACACACCTTCCCTCTCTGACACTACACTATTTGTGTTACAACTGTATTTGATTTTGTCACTGGGAAAACATCTCCAGTATTCTCAGTTACCATAAGAAGCAAATGCTCATATTTCTAAAAGGCACAGCCATACTCTTGAATTAGCCTCGAGGTTGATCTGCTTTTTGATTTGCTGTGTTTTGTTTCAGTGTCTTGAGTTTGTGCTCTAAAAGTATTTCCATTACTTTATCCTGTCATAAAAGAACAGCGGTAAGTCCAGTATTAAAGAGAACATCCTACAGATACTTTTCAATGCTAATCTGTAAATGCCTCCAAAGAAAGCCTCATGGACCTTTTTTTTTTTTTAAAGTAGCAAAGGAATTTTTGTAGCTGAAATGCCATACTTTGCTGAGTCATCCAGCAGTTTATCAACTCCCACAATTTGCCAAGTTTTAAGGTGAAATGAAAAAGCTTCTTAAAAGCTTATGACAATTCAATGATTTCATACACTAGAAAGGTTAAGTTTAAGCACTTCCAATACAGATGACCCAGTAGGATTTGCTAAGCTTCTTGTCAAAACACACAGAAAAGATGAAAAGAATGAGGAAAACAAAGCCTTAAGAAAAAGCTATTAGCATTGACTGGCTGAAAGCAAGTTTGATCAATGGGATTGATTTTAATATTTTTTAATACTTTTTTTACTCTCAGCTTTTTAGGATCTTATTGAATAAAAGCTTGTCTTCATATCCACTGATTTTTTTTTAATTTAGCATTATTTCCTCAGAGAAGCAGAATAACAATATTTAATATTTTTTGCAGTCAGTGAAGTGCTGAAAAAGCAGAAAAAGTACTATTTGAAATAGCAATAAAAAGTCCATACTTTCTTGAACACTGTAATTCAATGTACAAAGGAAATTACAATAGCCTAATAAGGCCAAACAGAACATTAGCCCATCTAGGCTCACTCTCCAATAAACTTTACTGCTTTTGTTCCATTTAAACAGCTCACCTGGTGCAGTAATCTCTTCAGTTTCAATAACTGAGTTTTTACAGCTGTGCAGTCTTGGACCATGTGCCGAAGGGTCATTTCATCAAGCATCACAGTATTCTCCGGTAAGCCCACCAGCTGTCTCGGAGACTGGTAAAAATTTGGTGCTCCATAGCTTTCAAAGTGACCAATAGGAGATTCTAGGTAGTTTGATCCCCTAACAAATTAAAATAAAAATAAGTAAAAACACAGTGATGCCAAACCAGAGCTAGAGAGTATTTAGTAAAAGTCTTACATAACATAGGCTATATTCACATATTGTGGCATACAGTAGGAAAGAAATAAACCAGAAAATGTCAATGCTATTTCACTTAAATGCTGGGCTTTCCTTCCAATTTGCGTAAGTCTCTTGCAGACTAACAACAGCACCCTAAAACCAGTTTGCTCATCAGGACTTCTATAAACTCTGTCATTCAAACTAGCCTATAAAAACTATAGGATTACATTTAATTTAAAAACAAATCAATAAGAAAAAGCTGTCCAAACTTACAGAATGCAAGAAATAAGATAGTGGTATGTTTTCCCATGGAACACATACGGTAATTTAGTTAAGCATTTATATTATCATATAAACACAAGTAACAAATATTTGGATTAAAAAAAACAGTGACAGAAACAAGAGGTTTGAAAAGTTTTGTTATAAGTCTCAGTGATGCTCCTACTCAGACATGCTATTTACAGATGTACAACTATTCTGAAAATATCTTGTACTCAGCATCACTTGAGACCCTTCAGCACCAAAAGGGATTTCACATCGCAGTATTTTAATTGTTTGGAAGAAGAGAGACAAGTCCTTTACCTGTTCAAATCATTTTTACCATGGATATAGTGATCAGTATGGCCAAGATGATAGTGATCCTGTGTATTCCATCGCTGTTGTGGTGCTCTTTTCCAGAATCCTTCCTGATGTTGCCTAGCATTTCTGTCTTGTCTATCATAACGGCTCATATTTTCACATTCGTCTACAGAGAGCGTAAAGAAAAAAAAATTAATAAATTTGTTCTTATGACCTTGTAAATAAAATATTTACTATGTGCTGGTGACAGCTGCAGTGTAAAATCTGTGGGATTTTTTTTTTTAACTGATCCCCCCCCCAAAAAAAGTATGCATTTTAGAACTATCAAGCAGACTTCTGTAATGATGTCACATTTTTACTAGCATATAAACTTGTTACAATAATAAGAGTAACCTGTAGCAGAAACTACAGAATTCAGTATTTCCGGTTTAAGTAGAAAACCATTTTGGAGGAGGTACAGCTATGAGAAAGAAAAAAATTCCAAAAGTAACATTTTCCTGTCTTTCTTACTGACAGTATCATCAGGCCTTTAAAAAGTTCAAGTAGCATACAAACACAGAAAGACATTTTAAAGAAAGGTCAGTACTTCATTCCAAAACAGAACAATTTCATTATTGAAAACGTATATATATACACACAGAAAAAAAACCTCAGCCTATTCATCTTGCTTGTTTTTCAACTTGAGACACATCTAATCTTTATTTACCTGGACAACAAGCATGATTTCAGAGAAGCAAACAAAATAATCACTTTAAAACAGTAACTTCTGCAAAGCAAAGCACATTCCACAAACTTAAGGGAACAAAAGCTATATTTGGCAACAGCTTGTAAACCACCAGAAACAAAGCCAAAACAACTGCTCTCCGTGCAGTCAGACACGGCAAAAAAAAGTCATAAACTGCTATTCTGCCATTGCAATTTCTCCTTCACTTACCCAAGGAGTTCTTCCTCACATTGTCAGTTCTTTGCTAGGAGAATAACTCTACACAAGAGAGCATTGTTTTATTCGGCGGCCTACTCAGACATAGCTGCGCATAAGACGCTCATAAACAGGCCTTCCTTCCTGCTTAGTTCCCAGCCTGCGTGTTGTTGGGAAGTGAGCCCAGTTTTACCCTGTGATTTAAAACTGCCATCCTCACTCGCTGCATACTTGTTGAGCTAGAACTGTTTCTATAAATAGTGTCCAAACACCATCCCAGACTCCAAAGTGAAACAAGGAGAGTTTCTGTAGACCTGGGAAGTCTCAAGAGGCTGACGTCAGTAAAGTCACACATAATTATGAGAAAAAGTTTTGGCAAAAAGTGCAGTTAAATATTATTGTAACAAATACTCATATCTACAATTCAGGTTTTATCACCTAGTTCAATAACCAAAAAATTAGATAAGAAAATAAACTTGTTCACCTAAAGTAACACAAGATTTATTTTCCTTTAGAAGCATCATTCTACAGCTCGTAACACATGAAAACTCTAATGGATCTATTCAAAATAAGCCCTCAGTAAGTTCGTAAGTAATTTCATTATGATGATTTTCAGCTTTGGAAAATGAAATTGAGACATTGAGTAAAGACACATGGATATTAACAATGAACAAATTTTCGTTGTGGTCATGTTCACTTCAGGGAAATCCTGGAGGTGGCTTTTGAATTCTTCTTTTCAGATTCTCTTTGCTAAAAATTCAGTGATTTCAAGATAAGCAGTGATTATAGAAGAGATACCTGGCTTACTCCACATTAATTTTATATGGAAACCCACCTTCTTTTAAAAAATGTCAAAAATAATAGCAATTAGCTAATATTGATCTCAAACAGTAGTTTTTCCTCCTGAATCAGCAGCTTACAAAGCAGATGGTTATAGTCACAAAACATATTTCAGCTACACAAACATTATTGATACTTAGCTGTAGAAGTAGGAGTAGATTTAAGGTTATTATATTGATGCAATTAAGAAAGTAGTGCATTAAAAGTCATATTTAACTCGTGTCTACATTAAACAGCAAACTAACATGTTTTTGTGGCAAACATTCACTTTAAAATGCATGCATTTTTGAAGGTTTTTAAATTAATAATTTGAAATGGAACTACTGATGCAGATGCAGTGCATGTTTTATAAACAAGGAAATTTATGAGAAATTGATTTACCCTTTAAATTGTTTCTTAGTTTTTCCCAACAGAATTAGAATTACCCTTATTAAAAGAATACCTGCTAGGCTTGGATTGTTATCCATTCTGGAAAATTAAAAAAAGTAAAAATAAAAACTGTACACCTCTCTGGGCTGAAAAGTTGAATACTAGCACTATTTTCAATAAGCACCTTCCACACAAATACTTTGGCAAACTTATTCTGAGATTTAAAAGATTAAGTACTGCACTTCATATGTTAAAACATGATGTGCCACCAATGTGGTAGATGGAAGACTGCGTATTTATTTACTGTTAACTTGGCTTCATATCTAACATACACACAGGAGTCTTCACCCAAAGACGATGAAGGTACTCTCGAAACACCTGAATTTCCCCAAACTTCAGCAAGCAGCTGAACAGTACACAAAATTTTCTCTTTCACTGCCTGTCTGTACAAGGTAGGGCATTACAGTGCTCCACATTTAATGCTTCTCTTCATTTGAAGACATCTTACCCTCCACTGAACTTGGAGGTTAAAGCTAATACCCGTATTCACGTGACAGTGACAATTCTTATAAGTAGGTCAGGAATGACCAAAAGCAAACACCTCAAACTTTTCCAGGCCAGGATCTGAGAAAGTGTCACAATAATTTGCCTTACCTAGTTTGTTCTAGTCTGCACTTCTATTATTTTAATGGCATCTACGTACCACTATCCTCCCCATCAAAATTTTGCCAGCATTGTCACTGACAACAAGAGTGCATAAAAGACATCTTGAAAAATCAGATTTAAATCTTAAGTCTTCCTGTAGCCTGAACTGTATAAAATATGTTAGGAGACACTGTAATTTTGTATAAGAAAATGAATAATCACAAAAAGAATTACATTGTCATTTACCAAAGCTGAAAAAACGTTCTTCCAACATTTTCAAATATAGCTGAAGCATGAGACTGAAGGACTAACTTATAAATTTGGAATTCATTCTACTAAAATAATTTAAAAAAACCATGTGCAACAAAGTTGCATCTTTGTAAAAGGCAGTAATTTCTAGAAGACTTTGAGAAGTCTTCAAATGCAACAGCTGTATCTGGGGGAACAGAAATACCGCACTTCTTACATTTAAAAAAAAAAAAAAAGAGTTGTTACTTAAAGAAAAAAACCACCACAATTTGCAGAGTGCATTGGCTTATTAAAGCAGAAGTTAGAATAATGCAACTCACATCTGTTAAGCCCACAATGTAGTTTCACAAAACGACTGCTTGGCTAATTTACTAACCTTTATCATGAGGTGGGTCCTCAGGCAGGTCCACATCAAGCATGAGATCATCATCTTCAAGATCACATGAATCAAGATTATTCAAGATATCCTGCAAGAAAGAAGATGTGAGATATAGCTGCTTCCGTTATATTTCATTTACCCTACTGGCATAAAAAATTTATCTCAAAGCTTTTTCATACTTGTATTCTACACATACCCAGTGCTACCAGCAGTCTCCTCTCTTTGGAGGCCAACATCAACCTTACTTGAGACCACCTATACAAACAACAACCATCACACTTCTAGTAATATGATACAATAACAGTGCTAGATGAAACAAAGATGGATTAGAACGTTTTTCTGCCTTATGCTTATGGATCCAAAGATTTTTCTATTCATTAACATCCTGCCTTCTCCCCAGTTGGAAGCATTTTAAAACTAAATTATTTTGCTTAGAATTCAAAAACTGCTTTGTGAAGAGATGTTAAAATCACCTTATTTTAGCTCTTATAGCATACTAATCATAATATCATTGAAAGGAAGTGGGGGAACCTACGGTATCTTGACTTTATGGGCCAACAAAACTTAATTAAAATCAGCACTAAGTTCTCCCACCTGCTGTCTTTAAGATTATTGTTCATATAAAGCTGTTTCTAATACCAAGAACAGGAAAAAACCCAAGCGGTGAAGGCTGTAGAATACTCAGCTTATTGAGCACCCAGACGCTGCTAGCACCACACTACTGAAAAGCTGCATCAGGCAAAGTGCGGTGCTTGATCAGAGAACCCAGACTATGTTTTACTTTATTATTCAAAGAAAGCTAAACCTATTAATACCAAGTGATGATAACACAAAGTAGCCTAAGGAAATTGTTAACAGTTATACAGCTCTAACTCTTGAGCTCTCCTTTCTCTTATCCCACAAATAAAAGCCTCAGCTTTAAAGCCCAAGATCAGACTCAGGCGCTTCACATCTTCCTCTTTCCTAAGAGCAGAAATGTAGATTTTTCTTAGGTTTAACAGCTACACCTAAAGATGATTCAGGGGACTAATACTGAAAAATTTACCAAATAGTAAGTAAAATAAGTGTTTTACTAATTATTTCTTACTGGATATTAAAGTGATCTTTAAATACTTAACTGAATACTTGCATACAGACTATCAACACACAGAACAACAATATTCACTTGGAAAGCTATTTCTTTGCTGGCTACAATTTATTAGATTCCCTTTGTCAAAGACATATAGGTGAAAAGGAAGAACATTAATAGGCCTATGTCTAAACTATTGCTCCAACTGTTCTTCAGCAGTCTTCCTATAGTGTTCACAAAGGACTACTGTATTTTATTACAAATGGTGGAAAGAGCTAAGTATGTTTTAAGACTTTGTGACACATAACATTAAACATTTTACACTTCTGCAAGGGAAATTATTTATTGACTTAGGAGAGTATGAGATGAAAATAGTTAATATGCGCTCTATAAAACATGAGTACTATAAAGTAAAGATTGAATACTTGAAATAGGACTTTGAAATATAACAAAACCCAGATGGTTCTATCTCAAGTATTTTGTCTACATATAGTATTCTAAGTATTTATGGGAAAAAACAGAAAAACAGGGCATTGAAAATAGTAACAAAACCAACTATGGAAAAGCTTTAGAGAGAAATGGAAGTCATTTAAAGGAAATGTGGATTTAATATTTGGGAGAACAAACTACCTGTCTATATTTACTTCTTTTTTGCTTCCATTAATTTACATTCTTCCAGGAATTAGAAGATTTTTAAACAACATGTATTCTTTAAACTATTCTGCAAAATGTAGGTGTTTGAGAGGCAGCTTTGGTTTGTTAGTTGATAAATTGCCTCTTTGCCATGCTTTGATCTTCCAAATTAGTATGAACAAGCATTATTTTCTTCTACTGCGGCAACCTTAATGAGCACATCGAACAAATTACAAACAGTGGCCACAAACATACAAGAAAGTTGAAAACATTTGCCATTGCTGTGAAAAAGCATTTAAAAAAGCATAATATAAAAACATAGTATGTCAGTGTTAACTAATAAACCTAGATAAGCCACTTTACTATCTTTGTATCAGAACTTCAGAAATCTAATGATGTCAGAGAAGGTCAGCATTTGAGATGCCAAACATACTTCTCTGTCAACAGCACATTTCATTATGCTTCCCTAATTATACATTCCTGCACCACACTGAGGCAACTCCATGCTAGAAAACACAACTATGAATATGAAGTCTTTGTAATAGCTGGGCCATACGTGAATTCACATTGAGTATTTCTCAATGCTATCTTCTTGGGAAACATAATATAAAAGTAGATGTCAGCAATGCCATCTTGAAATAGCTGTAAGATCAAGTACAGGTTTCAACACATTAGTACGCATAAAACCTACATTTACAGGCTTCCATTGTTGTTCTTACTACTGTATAATGAACTGAAGTTAACTACGTGGCAGTAACATTGTTAATAATGTGTGCCTAACAGTGATTATCATCATGAAGTGATTCTGGGACACAAGCTCAAACACAACAGGAAATGAAAAAAATTCTTCAAAAGTGCATCAGCTCCAACCCTACAGAATATTACATGTTTCAGCCATTATTAAAAGTTACAGTAAGAGAAGAATCCTATTTTATTTGCATAGTTGAAAAGAATAATGCATATTAACACAGACATGTAACTTCACAAGGCTGATTAGCACTAGGTTTTCAAGATGGTACAACCTAGAGAGGCAAGTGTAAGGCTGGCAAACAATTACACCACATTTAGCAAGTTTACTTCAATGTTCTGCAATTTCTTCCTGTAGTGATTGCTCTCAGGTGCTATATCTTACCAAAGGTTAATCAAGCACCCACCAACAGGTCACCTACAACAGCCCAGGGTTTTTGCCTAATTTGTTGGATCTGTAGAGTTCAGAATCCCTTTCTCAAGGGGCATAACATTATTAAGTTCTAAGACCAAGATTGGGGTACTGTAGAGCCACTGAATAAGTTCAATATAAATTCATGTCCATCACAGTGAACTGGAATAGCAAAATACTCTTTTTAAAAAGTTCAGTTTCTAAAACTTCCTCATGCTGCATACATCATAAGCTCTCTCCTCCACTGAGAAGCAGTATTTTTTGGTCCACCAACTTAAGTTCAATTTAGCTTAACATTTAGACCTTGGCAAGAGGCCTGATTCTCTGCTTTCTCATTTCTTGAGCTAAGTACATAATGCAACTAAAAATAAGTTATAATGTGCACAAATGAGAAGGACAGATGTCTACATTTCCTATCAAAACATAAAAAATGTGAACCAGTGAAAGCTTATGACACAATGTATGTTACACTGGAATTAAAGAAAAAAAGGAAGAAGCCAGGCATTGGGGTTAGTACAGAAATACAAAGCAATTCCAGATAAGCAACCCTCAAACAAATAACTTTGGAGAATGTTTACAGAATTGAGAAGAGGCTGAGCTCAAAATGCCAATTCAGTACCCTTCTTTTCATGCAAAGGTACACTCTCTTGCTTCAAAAGCAATTGCACTGAGGCAGTCATGAACTGTTGGTGAATATTTGGAACAATGTTTTAACCTCTTCCACAATTCAAGATCTCAGACCTCATTCGTTTGTTCTACTTTTAGAAAGTAGGCTGTTAAAGGAAAATAACTAATTATTTTTGTTACTGATTTAGTGAGTTAGGTCTTGGTTCCAATAATAATCACGCACTTCTGAAGATAAAAATAGAAGCAAAAGCTCACATGCAATTTAAGTATTCCATAGTGATTACTTAAATTGAATACACATACAAATTTCTTCAGTTTGATTTGCTCTACATCCTGATTTTTTAAGCCTATATGCACAGTGTCTTTGATCTTTTGCTCAAAAAAGACCATACGAGCAATGCACATAGATCATTTAATACAAAAGATTACAACTCCTTAAAAACTTCAAACAACAAAAATATTAAAGGATAGATATCACCACTTTGGGGAGAAAAATGGAACTATAGAAAACACATCTAGAAACTCAAAATTTGGCAGCAAAAGATAATGTTTCATCCATAGCCCCAGTACACAAATACCTGTCTGGCATGCCTAGTTTTGATATATTCACATAACACTTTCCCAGGTTATTGATAATACATTTATGGAAGCTTTATCTGACATTAAGGGAACCTAATTCAGTAAAAACTTTACTGTGAAATCAGGTTGGACATTATGAAAAGTAAACATGCTAGGCTATTTCCAGTATATATGTTCAAAGTTGTTTACTTAAAGAACAGAGCAGTAATTACAGGTCACTGTTGAATGACAGCACATTATAGCACCTTCCATTTATTTAGTTATATTTTAATCTCTTTGTACACACAAATCATCAGTAAGTTAGAATCAGACTTCAGACTTGTTGTGTTATTCTTATAGTACCATGCTGTATTCCTTTTGATGAAAATGTATTACAGCAAGTATCAGTAATGACCACTACAACATCAAGGTTACTTTATAACTCCCATTAGTTAAAGGTGCTTTACTTAATTTGAACTTTGTTAGTCTTTATGGCCAAATTTTAAGCCCAATTTTTCTACATCTGCCTCAATCTGATTTCCAGGTTTCAGTAACTACATCATCTGTCCATGTAAAAACTTTTTCTTCAGTTTTTATGTTAAAAAGACCTCACGGACACATACTGGAAGAAAGCTTGACATTTACGCTTCTCTGACACTTTTCTGAAATTGAGAGCTCAGTTTGGGCCAAATATGGGCATGGATAACCACCTTAGAATATACTGAAAAACTAATTAACATATCAGAGCAATTTAAGCAATGGCTTAAATAATGACATTTAAATCATCCTAAAAAGTAAGAAAATATATGCATAAATAAAAAGCCCTCTGAATAGAATTCTATCAGAATCTCAAAAAATACCAGAATTACTTTTACAAGGCTTTTGGATAATTACTACAAATTTACTACTTTAAAATTCAATTTTACATTAAAAAACAAGTCTTAGAAAAACTAACATCTGTATTACACCATACTTCTCTAAACTTAGAAAAGTAATTGTCAAAGTCACTAACTTGAAGCAGACATATGTCCTTGTGACATTC